GAGGGGAGAATTAACAATCAGATCATGGGAGTTAAAGGGTTAAGGGCAGCTCTCTAGTCAGAGACCTCATACTAGACGGACACGCGTTCAATACGCGTCCGATATACATCCATTACGTAGTTTTCCAATCCTATACCAGGCACTCGGTCTGAGGACACAAGCGAAAAGGTGGCTGCGTTAAAAAAAATTGAGAACTGCATTGACCGCCCGCTTCTATTTCGCCCCTCTTTTCTGACTTGTAGCCTTTGATGGGCTACAGTTCTCTTGACTGCTGCTGAAAAGGTGGAGTCATTAATTAGAGTTATTGACTGATACAGAGTAGGAGTGTAGTGTGCGCGAGGGACTCGAAACTGCATGCATACTCGCCAAACTCGCATGACGATCAGCAGAGATGCACCTCTTTAGATCTCATAGATGCATCCTACTTTATAGCTTACGTGTAGCTGTACCCTCCTCCTCCAGCTAAGGTGAAACGGAAGGGAGGGAACGTCCCTCGCTTCCGTTTCACCTTGGGTGGGAGGGAATGGGTACGGCTACACTTATGCTACCGACTTCACACCGTCGATTCACTTGAATGATAAGTCACCTCTGAGTAGTGACGCTGTAAATTTGAAACGGGAGTTCAATAATTTAAAAAATAATAATAAATAAGAAATTACCATTCATGATTTGAAATATTTGAAAACACCTTTACACTTTGGTTGTAGGAGGAGAGTCATCCAGTAAGCAGACAGGTAAATCTGTGTCTCCGCCTTCCTCTGCCAATGGTCATGTTCCTCGTGGTGATTCTCCAAAGGGAAGTGCGAACAACAATATAGACTCAGAGAGCACAAGTAGTGAGGAAGCTAGCGAAAAGGTTGACACTGATGGTCCCAGTAATAATAAACCACCTCCTTCTGAAGGAAATTCCAGGGTTGAAAATCTTTCTGCAGCAGATGCCACGGACAATGTGACTCAGGTTACGAATGATAAGGAAGAGCCACAGAAGGAAGGATCGCCTGATTCGGATGGTTGTGCGTCTCAAAGCAAAGCTACTTTGAATGAGGAGGAAGCTACCGAGACCCAAAGTACAGCTCTTGGTGACAAAGATGTGGTTCCTGTGCCAAATGAGATAAGTACGGAAAGTGCCACTGCTGATACACATGCGGCTGAGACTAGTGTAGTGCAACAGAAAGTCGCCGGTGAAGTCAACATACCTGGCAAGAATGAAGAGGATCCCTCACAAGATGAGACTCAGGGTGTCAGTGGAACTTCCCCTGACGGGGATGAAGAGGCTGCGGAAACTGATTTAACCCAACAAAGAGTTGCCAGTGATGCTAGTTTACCTGTCGAGATTAAAAATGCACCCCCTGTTAATCAAACCAAACGATCGAGTACAGCTTCAAGTCACCACTCCACGTTACCTTCGGATAGTGAGGTGAATGCTTTAATTCAGGAGTTAGATTCCGTATTACCTGCTACGACAGAAAATACTAAACACTCGAGTGAAGTCACTAAAGAGGTTCTTTTATCTCCCGGTGGAGAAGACAGTTCTGGTGATAACCTTAAGCACGACTCCACGTCCGCCCCTGTCGAAGCTACGGAACAAACAGATCCTTCCAAGGAGGATTCAGCGCTTGAAAATAAACAAAGTGCAGCCCCTCTTGCCGAATCAACCGACGAGGCTTCGTTGAAGGGAAACAGGACGGTTTTTGGGCGTATATGCACCTTAAGCGCGAGTGTTCTTGTAGGCTCCATAGATGATCCACAGGGAGAACAAAATGTTACGCTTACCGGATCTGTATACCGTGTGCCAAGAATAGACGGGGACGCGACCACACCCAAACCAGGGGAAAAGATCGGGATCATCAAGGGAGATGTCACTTCTACACCTACTGATAATGAATCAAGTGTCCATCTAGCCACCCTTCGAGGAGACCTTTTGGCTGTTTCTGGAGAGGCGGCGTCGCAAGGACATGTTGCTACCGCTTCAATAGATGTGTTGTCTTGTGCAACCGGAGAAAAAATAGCAACCATAATGGCGGATGTTGCTCCGAATGACGACGCAGACAGTCCTTCGGGTGTCATCTCAGGGGAGGTTCTCGGTGCTTCGGAAAATGGATCTTACGAAGAGAAAATTGGAACTTTGGCGGGAAAAGTCGTTGCGTTAACATTTGATGATGACATTGTTTCAATGTCTAGTACAGATGAAGAACTTCTGAAACTCCGGAGGGAGAGCTGCTTTATCTGATTTGAATGAGCAGAGCGTCATGTTCCAGAAAAAAATCATATTTTCTTCTTTTCCGCACTAACTCGGAAGCCTAAACCATCTTTTTTGACTTTTGAACTAACAATCTTTGACGTTTCTTCCGAAAAATTAAATTATTCTTTCGTGAACTAGGATTTATACGTGCAAAGTGACACTCTTCTAGTCTCTGTGAAATAATTTATTTTATCATTAAGATAACCATATAATTTATTTTAATAAAAGTTAAAAAGTGTTTAAATTACTTTTTATCGTAGGCGAGTTGCAGTACACGCGCGAGAAATATGCACACTCATTATTCAAGAAAGTCTGTGAATTATTTAGTAATTATGACAACACTTCTCGTTATATTTATAATTGCCAATCACGAGTGGAAAACGAACGAAGATAGCTTGGAATTATACATACTTACTACAATGCCAAAAACCGATATGGTTTAGAATTTTTTTTTAATTGATTGCTGTGCCAAAACAATTTGGAAATTGAATCGAATGAAATAAAGAATATAATTTCTCAATTTTTTTTTCCAATCATTCAAGCATTTCTCTTGGAATGATATTCTCATAGTGGTTAGTGCCCCACCTTTTACTTTGATTGTTGTTGTAGATGGAGTGTCCAGTCACGTGCATAATGTTAAAAATGGATTCTGGGAAGGGGACGGGAGTGAGGCTCACCATAGTTGATTTCTATTTGGTACCGATTTGGAATGAATCAGCACCGCTAAATGCTCCAAAGGTTAGCCTAATTGGGGCCGAGTTCTATTTCTGTTTGTTGTGTTGTGCTTTTGCAACTCTCTTGTCAATCTATTTAACTTATCGCGCTCAATTTAGCCTTTCTGCAATGTAAGGGATTAATATAGATGTTCTTAGCCTGTGAGCTTGTTCAACCTTTTGCGTGTCATTCCGAGGAGAGACATCGCATCGCACCTGAAGTGTTTCCGAGAAGTTTTTATCCTCTAACTATAACCACCCCTCTTTGATTCTAGCCCCACCCGTCTACAGTGGGTCGAGAGCGTGCAGTGTTCGCTACATTAGATCAGTATGCGTTTTTAGCCTGAGTGGATACCTTTTATTCATTACATATAAAGCTATTTGTTGATCATTTAGAACCGAGTTACCTCCAAGTTTTCCAAAAAAATAGTGACAAAAAGATATTAGTACGGACAGTATTGACTCAAATTGTTGGAAGAAAACCAACAAAAAAAAAAAATGTCTAACTTTAACTAGGGATACCCCTGCAAGAGCAAGTATTAGCGCCGCTCTTATCCATTATACAAATAGAAAAAGCCTATGTAGCTTCTAGATTTTCAAGGGCTACCATAATGAGAAATAAAGCCCACTTGCTACGCAGGTTAATAAAAAATAGAAATATTCAGTACTAGGTTATAATTTCTAGTTAGAACACATCAAGGGAGGCAAAAGGGCAACAAAAAGAATAAAAGAACCTAACCCCTCCAACGAGTAAATTCTTCTTGATAAGCGGCCACGTGATGTTACATAACGCCAAGCACTGGATACGATAGTGAATGTAAACATGGCTGCTTTGGCGGGACAGGCAAATTTATTAAGAAGATTCGACGCAAATATTCCGCTGTAAATAGGTAAAGTAGTAATTTATTGTCCTTTATCTGCATATGACACTATTATGTAAGATAAAAATAGTTTTGTTCAAATTCTGAGGGCAAAAGACCCTTATTAAAACGAGTATGTGTTGAGTCGAACAATGGCTGGAGGCATTTTGTAAATGCACTATATTTAAGCCTTCCTTGCGGCGTTTTAAGAAAATGAGGCTATTTTTAAGCACTCAAAGGAGACGATAAAAGAATCGTCATTTACTCTGTGAGACCGCTATTCTTGAGAGCTACACAAAGCAATCACCCATTTATCTGCAACAGTCACTCATTTGGAGACATTATTTGCTCCTTGGTAGGCCGTTACTAATTAACTCGTTTATAGATAGAAAGGCTTCGTAGCGCGCCAACACTCGCCAAGTTGTATTAAAAACCTTTCGAAACCTTTTAGTAATAAGTTTTAGAGATGTATGAAAAAAACAAAGTAGCTTTTAGCTCACTGCCCGCTTGAAAGGTAAACACTGTCTGATAGCAATTCAAATTCATGTAAATATCAGACAAATTGTTTTTCATTTATGGTGAATGTTTTGGCGAGAGATTGTTTGGTAATAACATTCATTTACTTTTCTCAGATACATATTCCTGGAACCTTCTTTCCTTGTATTTGTCGAAAATTTGTCAAATGGCTAAAGTAAGTATTTTTGTATAAGAACAGAATGATTTTAAAACACGTACACTCAACTAGCATATGGCAAAAATTTAAGTTTGCTGCCTGTCTTTTAGCAATGAATACAATCATTAATATTTTTTGTGTTGTCAATACACAAAAAGCCGGGCATTTCAAATCTTCCCTTCAGCGTTTTCATTAAACGTAATTCTCAAATCCGCTAACTATGCTAAATTTTTTTTTAGTTATTTCTGTTTGTTTCCCACAAAATTTTGTTTATATATTTTCTTGTGAGTATAATCTGTTCGAAATGAAACTTTTCTGTTTATTCCGGCCATGATGTTAAGAAACATGGCCCGCTCCGTTCTTTCCTTTGTACCCGTGAAGCTGTCTGTTAAAATTGTTATTGTTAAGCTCGATTGCCATGTGAACTTGCTGCAACCAGCGTTTCTTCCTAAAAGTCATTGCAACACCCATGCTTTCCTTCGCCGCTTCGTGCATATCTTGTCCGGTGACCTTGCTGTACATGCGAGTCAACTGCAGGCTCAAATCCTCGCTGGAGGTTGCTCGACGACGTTGGTTTGCGCTGTGAAGGCGTTTAGGCGTTGAATTAAGAGACCGAGTTCTACGGCGTTGCTTGATAAGCACGCCGTCGCTTTTAGAACTCTTCGCCGATTTTGTTGTCGAGGGGATGTCCTCTATTCTCGTATGATTTAAACTTGAATTACCACCAGGCAGTTTAATAGGCGGTATTCGATCAACTGATTTGTTTGTTTCTTCTTTTAGAGTATTTTCTGCCTCGATAGGCCGTTTTTGCGAGCTCACCGCAACCCCTTGCGTGACGAAAAAGTCATGGGCACTTCGGTTTCCCGATTCATCGATAACTTCAATATCAATATTTTTATCGCTTTTGTTTACTCCGACCAGGCTTGTGTTTGTCGAAATCAGTGGCATGCTCTCACGCTGATCGTTTTTTGTTTCACTGCCGGTTTGTTTATCCTTGTGATGTTTCGACGACTGACAGAAACATAAGATTTCGTTGTCTTCTCTCTCTTTCCATCTGTACGCTTTACGTTGATTCGCTGTGCGTCTTTCTTGATTCGCATTCTTAATTTGCAACTTGTGTTTTATGGATGTTTCCAGTTTCGAAATATCGCTATGGCTACGCTGTTTCGAAACAGACGGTAGCAAGCAATCCACACAAGTCGCTCGGTCGCTGTTCGATTCTTCGCTCGATCCACTTGAACAGTTTCCTGAATCGGCTCTGTCGTCTTTTTCGCCGCTTTCACGAAGACTCAAAATTTCGCTACTTCCTGAGGAGTTACCATTTTTGTCACTGAGTATTGATCTAAAACTTGTATTACTTTGTCCACCTGCCGTTGGCTTATTTTTCACACTCTTGAGTGCCAAAGAGAGCTGTATCTTTGAGGTGCCACTTTGCATATTTTCCCCGAAGCCGTCAACTTGAACCTTTTGCCCAACCACGGCACTTCGGTACGTTCTATTTTCCATTGCCAACAGAAGGGGATTAGGGGAATGTTTATGAAAGACAATAGCCCTATCCCGAGCGCGTTCACACCATTTTCTCACGCGCCAGTATATTCCCAACGTCAAACCGCATGTACTTCGAGAGCGGAACTGCTCGGCAATAAGCAGCTTAAAACACTCAGTTTGCTTGTACCTTCGTGCCATATTACACGGTGTCAGACCGTGTGCGTCCTTGGCAAGGATGCAGGCGTAATTGTGATGGATAAATTTCTGTAGACAATTAAGGCTGCCGTGTTGTGCGGCCTCGTGAACTGGAGTCTTTAAATGATCAGGATGCACTTCCTTGTTGCACCACTCTCGCACTGGGTGCTCTCCGACAGGTTCATCGCATCTCGCCCCGCTCTTGATCAGTTGAGTGGCGAGTTGCGTGTAATTGAAATGAGCCGCGATGAACAGCGCTACCCGAAGCTGGTACTTAAATACCAATGGATCATCATGAATACTAACCATGTGTTTTATGGTCGGAGTTAACTGCCCTGCCGTAGCAGATTTTAGGAACGCACCCCAGCCATTCCATGTCTCCAAACGAATCGTGTCACCGTAATCGACAGAATATTTCTTCAATGGATGGCAATCGTACATCTCTTTTCCCTCTGAAGAAACGAGGCGAAACACGCTGACGTGTAACCCTGTCTTCTCTGTAATCATTGTTTTAAAATGTCCCACTTTTGTCTCCCAAACGTCAAACCATTCTGTAAACTTAAGTGTTTCGTTGAAATGCGAACAGGTGACACTAAGATAAATTTTGACATTTTCTAGCAGTTCGCATCTCAGTGTTGCACCCGGTGGAATACTAATATCCGTGAAAACCCAATCGTCTTCTAAATTGGATCCCGCGTAATTAATCGCCATAAGCATGTCGTTCTCGCTATCTTCGCTTTGCACCGTATCTAAATCGAGTTTCTTTCGAAGAGTGCCTTTTATCTCGCTCACCGTTTGCCCAACTTCAACGTCTAGTAAATGTCTGATTCCGTCGAACAGCACAAAAATCCTCATCTTCTATATCTTCGCTTGTGACAGAGGATGATTGATAGGAAAACGCGATTCGCAATTGCTTGTAGCTAGGCCAACAAACATCTGTATACCCAAAATAGCGTTTTATCACTAAGAAGCGACGGTTCAAATGCTCTAGGACATTAATATTTCATGGCAGTTCAGCGAAGCTTGCCTTTGTGACGTGAAGAGGTTGATAAGCCGAATAAAGTGCAATTAACAGCTTAAATAATTAACACACACAACGAACCAATCGCGCCAGGTATTTAGACAATTTCATGGGTCTTTGTTACCTGAGCGAGAAATGCAAATTCAGTATAGAAAGAAAGGATGTCGAATCATTTTAACATAACATAATTTTCTTTACTCATTGTCTTAGGTGTTCAGCAGGTTGAACGAAACCGCTCTTCTCACTTTCGGTAAATTGTTTTTCAACGCCTCGTTTACTTCGTTATAGCATCCTCAAACTGTTTGCTTTCCTCCTCAAACTTTAAGGCACGGTATAGATCTTTATCGTACACTTTTTTCGGGTGTAAACTGGTAGTTTTGTTCACTTTTAAAAGAATAGCTTGTTTTTGACAGTCATTAATACAAGATTAGTTTCCGTTCACTTTATTAGCAACAAATCTTTGCGACAAAAGAGAGCTTCGCATTATTGACAACGATTGATCATCGTGTTTGCTCAGACAAAAGGCTTCTGTAAAGCGGTGTCATTAAACTCGATCGAATCACTGTCTATCAACGAATCTATGTTAATATCATTTGACTGTTAAGTTTGTTGGTTTGTGTAATGCTTTGATAACCACGAGGTATATCGTCTCTGCGTCCATAAGCGCGAATTTACGGCTAGGGAAATACCTCTTGTTTTTATTACCTCGGGGAAAAATAGATAATATTGACTCAGTAAAATTAAAAACATTACGTACCTCACGCAACGATTTACAATGCAAATTTAGAAATATTTAGCCACGTGCTTACACCATGTATAAGGCGTCACTGATGCGCGACGACTCCCGCTGGCTGATAAATGATGCGCGGAAGTTAGCGGGTGTGAAAAAACAACTCGCCCGCCTGCTGGCTTTTTCTATTCCCGTTTGATAGCTATAGTACTCTTAGCTTCGCTTCGAAGCAAATATTTTTTGGAAAAAGTTTCATTGCTTGTACTCCAGCATTTTTAATTATTATGGAAATGTGGAAATCGTTCCAAGGTATGAAAAAATAAATGCAAAATGAATGGTTCTACATAATCAACAAATCGTTCAACTTTCAGAACCCGAAATCCCTGACTGTGAACGCTAAAACTAAGAAAACTGATGAAGTAATAATTTACTTTGTCCTAGGTGAAAATTAAGTCGTCTTTTTAATTAAAATATAACTTCAAAACATTCAGGACTCCCGCGAGGCTCCAACAGAGACTGTAGGTAAAATGAGGAGGCCGGTAACACTGAAACACTTCTTAGGCGGCTCGGAATTTTCACCAACATCGCGCATGGTATAACCACTAGGAGACGGAGCAAAATCGCCGATATACTATGGATTATTTTAAAAATAAAAAAAACCACAACACAATAGTTCAAACCGCTCTTATTGCACACAGAATTCAGTCTTTTCGATGGGGAAAGTGTGTGTGGGAAGGGGGAGGGGAAGGGGCTGCTAGTCGTATACTTATAGGTTACCGATCTGAAAAATGATGGGAACCCTAGCTTTGATATTTATGGCAAAGATTTCTTTCATTTGAATCGCTTACTTAGAAACAAAATTACCCAAAAATCTGTTTGGTATATCGCATGAGTGAAATCGATGAAGGACTACCCTAACGCCTCTAAAACGATTTTCTGTCACCTAAAAGAGTATTTTGCGACATCTTCTAGTAAACAATCTCGTGGTAGTCAGAGAAGACTACTCCCCCTCCCTACCACCCTGAGATAAAACTTTCCATTTTTGGAAATGTCACAAGACATATAATACACTGTTCCATTTAGCAGCTTCCAGGGAGGCTAACTGGATTAGTAAAGACTGGTTTCCGACAAGTTCTCACTTCCAACCATTTATTTATTTTAGCTTCCCTGCAGTTTAACAACACATTACATTTTAAATTATCATTTATTTATAATTAAATTATTAATTTTAAATTAATATTCTTAAATAACAAGTTCTTTAAAATATTGTTTACACTTCATTCTTAATACTTTCATTTATTCAGCGATTCACTAAAGTACTTACGTTTTAAAATTATGATCTGTCTCGACTAAGGCACTAAAAACATGAAGGAAAAATAAATGTCTCATAGCAAACAATAACAGAAAAATTGAAAAAGGATTCTCACTAATTTAAGCATTAATAAATAGCGGCAGCATTTTTTGTTTTTATTCAACCGTCCTCCATTCTTATAGAGTCTCGTGAATTTCTTCTATACTACAATGACCTTTTTGATTATTTTATTACGCCATCTTGCTAACAGATTGTATTGAAAAGGCTCTATTAAACACTAGATAAAACGACATTTTGGAAATTTTAGGAGTCTTTGAAAGTTTCATTGCAATTCTTCAGAATGAACTAGAATCCACTAGAGTAAATGATGGTTGTCGAAAGCACACAACTACCATTAAAGGTGCACAACAGAATCGACCAACAGAAAGAAAAGTGTTGCCAGAACGTAAACGAGCATATGACAGGTCGACGAGGGTGCCCAAGAGCCAACGAGAGAGCGCAAGCCGGGGAGTTGACGAAAGTAATCACAATTCGAAAATGATGCACAAGAGCAAATGAAGGTACTCAAGAGTCGAATATACTGTGATTACAAGAGAGTTGAAAAAAGTACACAAGTCCAAATTATTGAACAGGAGTCAAAGACAGCGATGCACACGAGTCAAAATAACACTCGAGAAAATAATGCACGAGTACACAAGAAGTAACGAGTGTCAACAAAAATTATGTTTGTGAGTAGATAAATACAAATGATGGCAAGAGAGTGCTCAAGCGAAAATCATAGAGAACGAATTTATAATAATTCGGTGATCGACTCGCTGACTATCGTACCGTAGAAAAAGTGGTGTGATGATATACAAACTGAAGTGGAAAAAAAAATAAACAAACAAACAAATTAAAAACAAATCGTATTGAAAAATAAAAAGAGCGAGACAAATTCTTTTTAGAATCCCGTTTCTGTGCATATGTCTTCAGTCGCTGCTAGGTAGCAATCTTTCCAAAATCTTTACTTATCGGAGGGCAACTTTGAGTGACAGCTATAACCGTGGCAAACGCAAGTTATTCTAAAGATTAACAATTTTGCAAGGTAAACTCTTAATAATCAGGCAACCTTTGGAAAAACATCTAGAAATCGAAAAAAGAAAGAGAATTATTTATCGCATACAACTCAATCTGTTGAAAGCTCATTTTACATGATATTTCCTCAAAGCTTGATTTCTTAAATCCTCCTAAAGTAGTGAGCCTTTAATGCTAGTGACTACACCAGCTCTCCTTCAATGAAAAGAGTATCACGCTTATGTGACAAATTTAAAAGCATTGTTTTTCACTTACTTGAAGTTTTTCGAACATTTTTTATCTTACACGATAATTTTGGTAATGATTTAATTTAATTGTGTTTACCAGAGTGTACACCCACCTAAAGGGTGCGGCTTTTAAGCTTTGTAAAATGTTATTCCATTTTGATTTTAAAAAAAATTGGCTTTTAAATTGCTTTTAAATCCTTGGTGATTGAAAAAGTGACTTAGTTTAATTGTGTTTACCAGAGTGTACACCCACCTAAAGGGTGCGGCTTCTGAGCTTTGTTAAATTTTATTCCATTTTGATTTTCAAAAAAATGGCTCTTAAATTGCTTTTTAAATCCTCGGTGATTAAAAAAACGTGTTCATTTGAACTAAAAAAATTTCTCAGACTTTTGTTTAACAAAAGAAATGATGACTCCACGGTTACTGAAAACTCAGTAGATATGCGAGTAGCTTTTAAATTGATTTCAAGGTTCCACGTTACAGGTGGACTGACTTGATTCCTTCTGACTGTGCTACTGTAATATTCACCTTCACAGCAAAAAGTTTCCAAAAAAATTCTTATTCGATAATAACGTTCGATATTCTTTATTACGCAACTCTTTAAAAAGGTCGTGTAAGGGAAAGTCTCTATTTCTGACAGTTCTACTTTGGATGACCTGGTTTTCAAGGTCATTCATTACTCGAATTAGGAGCCTTTTCAGTGCAGCTTTTGAGATCACTGTTGGATTGGAAACCAGCAATAAAACTTACAAGGGCTGTTAAAAATGCAACATGACTGAATTATGATTGGCGGAAATTGGCCGCGAAGCTATGACGTTCAAAGATATCACAAATATTAGATCTCTAGTCCTAATAAATGGAAAAGCAAACAATTAAAAAAATGTTCCTAAATTTTGATAAAGCTTTAAAGATTTTCATGTGGTAATTACAGAAATCTTAACATTTTCAATGAACCACAACCTTGACTGTTCGCAGGTTGGTCGTTTGTAATTAAAATTTTTAAGTCGAGCAGACTTCCCATCTGTTAATAGAAGCAGTACTTGGACTGGCCTAAATAAAACATTACCCATTTATTTTAATATATTAATATAACTATAGCTTACGTGTAATTCTATTAATACCGTAAATATAATTTACTTTGGCTAAAATATCACTGCCATTTTTCTCTAATAAAATACTCTACTGATTATATCGTGCGTGTAGATATTTTTATCAAGGCGTTAATAATAAGTGAATTTCATAAAATAAATCGTATATAATTCAATTTTAAAATGGAAAATCGAGAGAACGAATGACATTGTGAGGCAAAATACATATTTTAGGCGTGTGGCCATCTCTGGAAATCTCCAAAAATAACCTACCGTTTGTACAGGTAGCCTTTCGGTACGAAAGAACTCATAAAGCAACGACTTTGTCAAGTAGTAAAAACTCCTTCATTTTGAAGGTAAATAAGGCATATTAACAATATTATACACCTCTACACTGTACAATAAATTTACGCCATCTACCGAAGATATTTTCAGGCGATATCGAAGTAGTTTCTTTCGTAACTCAATTTTTTCCATGAGCTTCTTAACTCCGTTCCCAATTTTCCATTCATTTATTTCACATTCTCCCATTCATACCATATCAAAATTCCAAATATTCCAACCAAATAAAACTGCTGGTTCCCCACGGTATTCATCGGAGACAATTACTGATTATGCCCAACAAGCAGTTAACAGCTCCAACCGATGGATAAGGTAATGTCGCGTAGCTCATTGTGCCCTGTTCCTCAAGTTTCCGCCCACCGAGCTAAGCCCCGGCTTACCAGCTCTCGGTTTATCAGGATTGTCTGAAAAGTTAAACAAAATTCATTCAGATAACTTTATCAGTGAATGCATTACTCAAGTGAAACATTTAATGATTGACCAGCTTGCCATAAGTCAGTCGTTAGTAACTTGGGTCTGTCTGTCTGTCGATCAGTTTGTCTTTCTGTCTGTCGATCTGTCTGTCTTTCTGTTTGTCTGTCTATTTGTCTGTCTTTCTGTCTATGTATCTGCCTGTCTTTCTTTCTGTCTGTCTTTCTGTCTGTTTGACGCTCGGTCGGTTTGTTGGTCAGTCGGTATGTCGATAAGTCTGACAATCTGATCAGAATTTGAGTCGTGTTGATTTGAGATTGATATGGTAAATAAACCACTCGCTATTGGAGAAGGGTGGATTTTGCTAAAGAATTTTACCCATAACCCCTTCCTCCATTTTAAAGTGACTGTCATTGTAGAAAAGCAGTTGTGTTGAAAAAACTGAGACAAACAACAAACAAAAACTTCCAGTATTTAAAGAATGAAAATAAACGCATATGCCAATGATACAATATGAAGCATGGGGTTTTCTTGGCGCACTCAGGTTCTAGTTTTAAACGTTATCTTTAGACTTCGACAAGTGAAAAACGTCTAATTTATCCTCGAAATTTTAATTTATTGTCTTGTAAAAAAAGTTTTCCGAATAAATTATGTCGTCAGCCAAAGGAAGTTATCTTGATTTGACAACAATTTCTCCCAACTAAATTGCAAGGAAATAAGAATTGGCTCCGAGGGAGAGTAACTCATCAGATCACACTAAGTGTGTACCTGCTGTCCTTGCACAAGGTACAGTTCCAAGCATGGCAAACCGCTTCTGTGACCAACAACGCGGGCAGTTAACACAGCATTCATTGTTAAATCCTCCAAAACCGCACCGGCCACGCTTGAAAACGTGTCTCCTGAAAATGGCTATAAGTTAGTTTGTACATGATAACCTGTACAGTAAGGGAAGTAAAGGGTAAAAGAGAAAAAAAATTCATTCTCTTACTCCCAAGTTCTTAATAGCAATTCTTCTAGCTTTTTGTCAAAGATTTTTCGATTGAAGGTCTTGGAATTATGTGTTAGATCACTCAGTTCTCCCTAGCCTATTCCGTTTGAAATGGTATTGGATTTTTAGGGATAGTGCTGGAATTATGTTCCACTGACTTCAACTGACTACGCATGAATACCACCAACCTTGAAGTGGGATCACGTTAGCAAGGTAGCATTCGATAGCTTGAAAAGGCAGCGTCAGAAAATCAGCCCTGAAAATTAAAACAACAACATTAACAAGTGGAAATTTTCCCATATTCTCAAATCTGTTTGTAAAGAATTTACTTACATAGAACGTGATTTAAAGAAGCTGTCCAAATTTTTTTTGTGGGGTTGGTGGGTAGTAGTTCGGCGCGGTTTAACACGAAAGATACAAAATAACGATCATATTATTAACAGAGCTAATAAAGATAATAAAAATGATAGTAATAATAATAATGATAAGAAAGAAAGGCGAAAAGGAACCAAAGATAATTTCATCAAAACCTTCCACAAAGATAACAGAAAGACAAAAAATTTACCAAAAGTCAAACTGATGAATGAATTCCATACATCTTTTTAAAGAGTTTAAATATCCAATGTCACACCCTCTTAAAGAGTTTAAATATTCAATGTAAGTAATCCATCAACCATAATGATACTATCATGAGAGATGTGCGCACACCTACCAATAAAATATTAATTTTATTAAAAGTAAATAAAATAAAGTAAAACTTTCAAAGGATACTGATTTTCAATGTTAAACCTAGGTTGAAGGCTGACAGACAGAACAAACGAGTCAATAGATACTAGATGACAGATTAAAGAAAACGCATTAAGAAAGGTTTACCATATCACCCATGAAAAAAACTGGACCCTAGAAAGGCGGGATTGTCAATAGAACATCTCTTCCCTTCCCCCCCCCCCCCCCCCCCCCCCCCCCCCCCCCCCCCCCCCCCACTCAGCATCCTAATCAATGGTTTAAGCCCGTGACGTCACGCATACGTCAGAAATTGAAGTGGAAGTGTGAAGGATCTTCAATAGAGAAACGTCTCTTTATTTTTAGTCCTAAGTAAGTAGACAAATATACACATCCTTCTTAAACAATGCTTGTTGTATTCGTTGAGATTGAACTTGAGCTCATGCCGGGGCGACAATTCTTCCGCGTCAGCTATTATCAAATGAAAAAATTGACAGTTTTATCTCGCACTGGTCAACTATCTCAAAAAAATTACCTACGAATCTAAATTCCGGTGTGAAGCCTTTTTTTAGCCCAAAATATAATACTGCAAATTAAAGCGGAAAAAAGGCGGCAGTTTCGGAAAGGAAAAAGCAAAACAAAAAAAAAAAAAACAAAAAAACCCGCCCCCACCTTACCTTCAATTCTCGAATTTTAATTAATAGCAAGTACGTGTTTTAGCAAGCCTACGTCAAGATGTAAGGCTCTCAAACACGAAAAGTTTCGTTCCCTCTCTGACTTCCGAGTTGTTCTCTACTATGACGCCATGACACTTTCTTGAATATGATTTATGCTGCAGCTAAGTGATTTGAAATTCAAAATGTTTCTAGTATTGAATTTTTCACGTTGATACTGGAAGTATCCCTCCCATCACAAACTTAGCATATTCTCTACAATTATATATCAATATGTATTTTATTATTTTTTCTCGCTCTTTTCGATTTTTATTGTTTAATTTTGTTTTCAGAGTAATTATGCTTTATACCTATAAAAAAGACTTACTTCCTCGCCAGTGATTCGCTTCTTTTCTACATTTAAACTGTGATTATAATATTTAGTAGAGGAAGCCCATCATGTAAAAGTCCTGCGGCTTCTCATGGGCTTGCACGCCACTTTTCGTCTTTCTTTTTTAACTTGATAATTAAATTTATGGCACAAGAAATAAAACATAGGAATTAGAATTATTGGAAAGTCTTGAGTTTCATCCATGAAATTCTCCTAGGTTTTAAAATGAGCTATTTCATTGCAAGGCGAAAATGTAATTTAAAAAAGTAAAAAACAAACGTTTTCAACACTAGGTCTTCATAAGGGAAAAATTTTTAGCGCTTATGCTATTTTCTCTCTTCTTACTGGTGAACCAAAGGTTTAAGACTATGAAAAGTATATTATTCTACACTTTATGTGACCACATCTGTCTAGCATTCATCGATTTTGACAGCCATTCAAACCCGTACAAACTTTGCAGATTAGTTAAGGAAACATTTCTTTTACACTCCCTACTTAATGTTGCATAGCCTTCAACGTCCACGATCGGAAACATTATTCTCCCAATATAATTTTATAAGTATCCAAGCAGGCTATTGCTGAGAATTTGATGTTAATCAGTTTCCCCTGGCTGATAATTATCTTCATTCTCATTAGCAAATTTGCCAGACAATATGTCAACATCCTACGAAGAATTTACCTGCTGATCATACACGAAATTTCAATTTCATTGGTCGTGGAAGTACTGAATGTCTTTCGCAAATATCCTCATGTTTAAATTAAATATAGGGTCTCCGTGCAGTTTACACGTAGGCGATTACCAAAAAAATTAAAGCGTACAGAGCACGCACAGTTAATTCTTGAAAAAAAAACGTAATTATCCGCCGGCTTTGCCAAACGATGTCATCGAAGAAGACCTGTTGTTTTAAATAGTATGAAGTGGGAGTCATCAACCAGAGGTATCTAAACCACCTGTCATACATCACAAGTGGATCAAAGACCAGAGAAAAAACGTAAACGAAACCATATCTAAGGCTATATTTCCTGTTGAAATGCGTTCCTGTTTAATTACAACGAAACAGCTAACAGAGAAACGATTTGAAAGGAAGCGAATCGTTATGGAAGAAGCACAACTTCGAGATGTTGTTCCGGCAAACACGGAATTTTTTTAAAATTAATCACCATAAATGAAAGCTAGCATATCGTAACCTTGAGACTGATGAACTCTGAGTTAAATAAAAATATATCTCCTTTAAAACTCGTGACCATAGAGCAAGGGGGTGTGTGTTTTAAGAACGCGCGCACATAAGATTACTTATTCAGGACCAAATTGTGGAAGGCGTGGGAAATTTTGATCAAACTATCTTTCTTTTTGAGAAACACCGCCAAAGAAAAAAATTAAATTTAAACTTTCTATGGACACGGAAGTATTTACACCCTTCAAGTATGCCAAAAACAGGGAAAAAAACTCAGAAAATAGAATCGCTAGTCTTAATGAAGTCGATGTTCAAACAGCATGGAAATGAGTAGGAACCGTTTATATGAACGTGGCAGAAGAGCCATATTTACTTTTTCCTTCCAGGCCTACACGTTTCAAATACACGGTGCCTAAAAAGGGTTAGCTAAGCTTTGTAAAGAAAGTTTTCAATATCGATGTCTGAGTTTTATTCGGCTTAATTTTATCGGACTGAATTGACAAGACATGGGATGTTAAGTAAGCCCTTGACGCGAAATACTCGTGTCTCAACTGTATGATCATCAAGTGGAGAGTAGTTTTCTTCGCGTTTTCCGAAGAGAAATGTAAAACTAATTTCTGTAGAATACTAAGGTTTCGGTTTAGCGAAAGTTTGAACCAAAGCAAATGACTAAGCATTAAAAAGTGACTGGCAGAAGTCACATATGCATCTTTGTAACACAATCGCTTGCTCACCTTAATTGTCGGAGACTCGACGCAGCAATCCTTCCATATCCTCCATAATCCAAATATTTAACCTCTACTTCGTCAGGATTACCAGTTGGCCCAAGAACTTGTGCCCTGTACCAGCCATTATAGGTGTATGCCGGCGCCGCACAGCACGAGCCCACCACAATTGGTTGTGGAAGAGGAAGAATCAATGGCGCTGTCCCTTGTCCGTAGCATTGCAACATGTTCTGGTGAAGGTCTTGAAGCTGCCTTTGCATGAAGTCGTTATGCAACTGCACGAAAAAGTGACCAGCATCCGCTACGCTCGTCACCACCACATCGAAGTTAGCAACGCTCGGAAGCATAGCTTGAACGAAAGGTAAGGCCTGTACGGGCATGGCAGCGGTCACCATGGGCTGAACGTGTACAGCGTTTGCTGTACCGTTTACAGCAGAGTTGAGCCTTGTCAGGGGTACACAGGGAAACTTTTCATGAATAGAATCTAGCGCACTTTGAATCTGTGTGGCGTTTCCTGTAACTGAGATGATTCGATGCGTTGAAACTTCGCCTGGCGACTGAGGAATCAATCGAATTTTCGCTCCAGATTTCTCGGAGATCACTCGAACGTTTTTGCCTTTCCGTCCTATCAATCTTCCGCACAAAATCTGGGGGAATTCAATCTCCCACACGTCTTTGTTGCTGTTGTCTGAGCTTTTTCGGGATCTTGCATTCTCTTCGCCGAGAGGTGGAGTGCCATTATTGAAACCTTCAGTGAAACTCAAAAGAGTGCCACTATCGACACTTCCCTCGCTAGCTGATTCTTCTCCGCCCGACGATTCTTTGAGTTCCGAACTCGTCGACGGCTTCGTTTCTACCCCGTAATCTTGTTGTGTGCTTTCTGTTGTGCTTGGCTGTTTTTCCAGCCGGAAATGGTGCAAGTCTGAAGCTTCCGTGTCTACATTGAACTCACTAACTTCGCTGTTCTCGCTCGAGGCACCTTTGTGTTTGCCTGGGATGATTTTCTCCTTTCCCTCACTGTTTACATCTGGTTTTTCTTCAAGCTGCTCAAGTTCTTCTGCCTCCTTGTTCTTCTTTTTCAGCCATAAAAAACTTACGATGATAGTGATGGCAGCCGGTAGGACAAGAGATACAAACAGTTTGGTAGAAAAGTGCATATCGGCCAACCTAAGGACGAAGCATTGAAATAAACTAAGCAAAAACACAAAACGAAACGAACGGATGGGAACAGTTGACCGCTAAATTTCGTTAGCTGAAACCCCCTTACGAACACATAAGACCCGATTTCAGAAGCATTACAATCTTTTTCAATTTTTTCTCCAAAGTTTGAAAGCTTAGCGATCTTTTGGATGGCAAAGAAGATGTGTTCTGTTTTTAAGGGACTTAAAAATTTGCATTGGGCGTTCGGTTACCAGTAATTTATCAACCTAGGTCTAGCAAGTAAAGTTGTTACACCAGTAAAGTGTTTCACCAAATACTGGAATCTAAACAAGGAAACGACTCTTCGTGTTTCTAGCCTGGTTTTGGCCAAGATTCACCCAGTGGTCTTCATATCTCACAGCCCGCGAAATACTTCGACACAGCATATGAAACCCAGGTTTGGCGACATTATGTAAAGTTCGGTGAACGCACGGGCAATGCATGATATAAATTACCTTGACACGTTTTTGTCGAAAAGAACTTGTGTAAGCGTAGCCACAGGAACTCCTTAGGTCATTCAAATACGATGTACGTCAATACTTTCAGGAATTATTGCTGCAATATCGTTTCCGCAACAAGAAAATATCCTCGGTTTCGATAGAAAGTCCGCTTCTGTGACATGCGCACTAAACCTTGATTTTGCTCTTAGCTAGACACTAGTAGATCCCTTAAGATGGGGTTAAAACAGAGTTGGAGTCGTCTCTAGTGCAATCCACACTACTTGTTGGATTGAACCTGGCTGTAACTCTAAAATCTTTCAAGGGCACTGCCTAGGTGCTAGACTATTCGACTTAAACGAAATGTCGGCTCAAATCTCTCGTAAGAACTGCTGAGTGTTCTATGTGGTTTATAGGGCCCACACTTGAAGGAGGAATAAGAGTAATGAGATCAACAACGACTGCAAATGTCTAGTACAATAAATCACGCAGCTAAGTGGTCACCACTTACACCGGGGAAACGCCGACACTAGCTCTCTCTCTCCCAAGAGATATTGGAGACATTTTAGATTCACGCGCGGGTACAACTACTCGCGCGATTTTTGACTGCAAGTTCTGTGCAAAATGCCAAAGTAATGAACTACTATAAGCTTTCTTTGTGTGTTTTGGCGACATTGTTCACGAGTTCGTTTTTGCCGTAGGTGGCTTAACTCCGTCCTAATTGCAAAATAATAAAATTGCTAGTGTTTAGATTAATCATTTCGCCACCACACTTTTCCGCGTCGCTTATTTTCTTGTTTTTTTTCTTCAAAAAAAACTTTAACTATATAATTAAAAAACTGGCACATAAGCCACTATCTTCAGTTGTTGTGTTTTCTTCAATCAGCGCTCAAAGCCCGAGGAAATGGCAGCCGTAAAAGCAGTCCGATCTGAAGAGAGCTGCATGAGTTTTGAGTTGATTTTTTTTTTCTTACAGTCAATGCTTAGGCCAAACAAGGACGTTAGTTAAAAAGCGTTCGCTCATCAAAATTAGCGACGAGACTGATGAAACTCGAATTGAAACTGCACATCTACTTCTCAAGAAGATTTAATTCAGAGGTCATGTAGCTAATGAGAAAAGCGGCAAGCATATCGCGAAAAATGGTCGAAAATAACACAACTCGACAACTTGCGTTTACCTGATAGACAAAACACGCAGAAAGCATTTTATTTCATAACCAGAATGGTGATGAGACAAACACACCACCCAACCAAATTATTATAGAAGAAAATATCTTTTCGGACGAGAATTTGTTCATTACCGTGTAGTGTTGTTGTGCACTTTCGTGTTCTTAACTGCTTGCCTGTACTGCATTGCAATTTGACTTTTAACTGATGACTATGTGTCGTGCATTTTCATTGTACCTCATACGCCTCGCATTTCGTTCTTGCCCAGCGGGCACTTCACGAAGAGTGGCCATTTTCTGCACGCGTTTATTCCGGTTCCGTGGCCACGACTGACGCTTATCAGTTAAGCCTCGTCCTTGACAAAACGTCGAGGGACTACAGAGTGCGCTCTAAAAGATAGACTTGTTTCTTTCATTTCAGATGTGTAACTGTTCCGCCGATAGGATAATCGGGAGAATAACAACTTTGTATGCGCAAAGCTAAAACGGGGCATGCTATTTTGATCTGAGCAGGTGGATTTATGTGGCGAGCTTAAGGGCTGGTTAATTTGAGTTAATTTGGCTGGTTTTAGCTCAATAGAAACCGACCTGGCCATCTCAATTTTGCAACGTCTTTTTACGAAAATAAACATTTTGTTGAGTGAAAATTTCAAAATGTAAGCCTCTCACCGCTGCACTATCATGTAACGTCGAGTTGCAATCTCCGTATAACTAAAACCAGCTTTAAACTTGTTCACCAAGAATATGCTTAATAACTAAAATATGTCACCTACATATGAACACCGGTGCATCGGAAGTAACGTTTCGCAGGCTACAAATCTTAACTTGATCGTTAACAAGAGTAGATTAACACGGGGGAGACACTCACGCACACCTACCACAAATGTAGGAGTATCAACTGCAAAGTATAAAGTAAAAAACTACAGCATTAATTTCCACGACATTTTTTCTTTTGAACCCAACATCGTGTAGACTCGAAACCTTTTCTCGTCTTTCTTCTTCTCGATCAGATGCATTCCGGAGAAAAATACGATGACTTCAAGCCTTCCCTAACACTCAATTAAGTGGCATACACCGATAATCTTAGCGTGAAACAAATTAGGGGTAATTTTACTTCCAAGTAAAGGGTGTACACCTTGTTGTTGACTATGTAAATATTGCTGCTCCAAAGAATATGTTTTTTTATCGTTCTGTCTAATATTGAAATAAATTTAGATCGTGTGGGTCTTTCGAGGTTTCTTCACATTTTAGAAACGAAGTGTAGAAATGGGTACGTTCTACGGTAGAGGAAAAATGCCCTAGCTATCATTCCTCTTTAGGAAATTTGATTCCGAAATTGGAGGCATTTGCAAAAATTTCCTTCAAAATATTGTAAACTGGTCAACGCTGTCTGGCCGAAGTTCCTCGCAAAGAGTTGTTAACTAACTCAAAATACCCTCCCAGGCGGAGGGTCAATAAAAACTATTATACTGGTTCAGTTCAAGAAGAGAACCAAACTGGGGTTAAATTTTTTAAGAGACATGCCCCGCATTCTCACTTTGTGTTGTTCCGTCTTGGTGGGGTGTTAGTCCATCCTGGGATTTTCCCCTTAACCGGTTGCCATGACACAATTTACCAATGCCAATTAGACTTGTAGATCAAAGAGTTCGTGAGGTGGTAACGTATCTTACCCAAATTACACGTTACCATGAGAAATGTTCTTAGGCTTCAAAATCTCGATCTATTGACCTTTATGCACCCAATTAAGCTACGCTTTTACCACAAGCAATTAACGCTACTTTCAAAAGCCCGTTTACTTATACAATGCCGGCTATAAAGTGATTCTAAAACACAAAAACGCCGGTGCTATAAAGAATCTTGCCGTTGCAAAGTTAAGGCAACTTGAACTACCGACCCACGATTGGAAGGTTGAAACAAACCGATATGTAAGCACAGAAACCTGAGGCAGAAATTGCTGTTAGTAATTTTGTGGAATAGAAAATGAATTTCGTAAATCGTTCGTACACTTTCTTCGAATGTTCGATGATTCTCACAGTATCGCATGTTGACAATAAAGCGACATTTTCTGTATACCTGGATTTGCGTAGATGAGTCTTTAACAGAACATCTTCCGCGACATCCGTTGCAAAAATTAAGGCAACTTGAACTACCGACTCACGAATGGAAGGTTGACAAAAAACCGATATGTAAGCACAATTACTAGTGGCAGAAGTTGTTGTTAGTAATTTTGTAGAATGGAAAATGAACTTCGTAAATCGCCCGTACACTTTCTTCCTCGCCGTTACTTGTTCGATAATTCTCACAGTATCGCATGTTGACAATAAAGCTACATTTTCTATATACCTGGATTTACGTAGATGAGGCTTTAACTGAACATCTTCCTCGACATCCATCGAAACGGCGCTCGCATTCCGGTGAATTCATTCCCTAACATGACCCGCTAGCGATACTATACTGGAACAAAACCGTCAAAAAATGAAATTCCCGTGACTGTTCCTATTTTGCAATGAGGGTAATTAAAACAGGAAGAAAAGAAAGACGGGAAGTCTCTAAAGAGAAAGGGAGGGACTTTGTCGGCATTGAGAGCAGAAACTTTCCCTTACAGTAACTGACCTTGTAAAAAATTCTCTAGGAATAGACAAATTGCTATGAGATACGAGTTTTGTGTAGTGATTTACCAAATATGCCACATCTACACTGTTCTTGACATCCCCAAAACTATCCATCATTCGCTGTGCCTTGACGACTCCGGTGAGTGGAACGCCAACTTCCTTAGCTATCACTGAGACATCCCGTTTATTTAGTCTACTTCCCACAGCAAATTAACTCGTCAAAATAATCGCGTTCATTTTTAACCTGATTTCTTACGTTGAGGAAAGAACGCTCTTTCGGCTAAAGTTTAGTTGACATTTTTTCCTGCTTTCGCTTTTAATAACCATAGCTTTCAATTACCAAACGTATAGGATATGGCGGAGAAGGAAAATACTTGTAGTTGGAGTTTGCTTAAAACTTCCTCCTCAATGGTTTCGATGAATTTCTATTTCAACGAAATGCGACATTGATACATCTAAAAATGAAAGAACTAAAACTAGGTCGAGTTGAAATATCAGATTTTTTTAAAACAAGCGTTCCAATTTCATCAGTCGTTACCATGGGAAAACCATGCCTAATTTCTTTGGTTCATCTTCAGGAAACCACTGAATCTCTGTTATTATTTCGATCAAGTTGGTTCAAAGCCGTAATGACGTAACGTAACTGAGAAAATGTTTTCACCTTAAATTCCACGTGACAAACAGAAACCTTAGTACCCACGCCTTTCATAATAAGACACAATGGAGACATGTTCCGTTGTTAGCAACGCTATAAGCCGTGAGAACATGACGAGTGCAACACGAAGATATAGTGCAGAAAATAAACTACTGCCCACGCCTGAATTAACTTGACGCTGTTGAGTCACATTCTGGTGATAGCAACTCTTCTCATCATCGACCACACGCTATTTCCCACACGAACTACGCTTTTGCCAAATAAGGAAAAAGTTCCGTAGAAAAACGTTTCTGCGGTGTGCAGAAGGTGGTTAAAAAAACATAATCCTAGTTCCACCTTTCACTTTCAAGGATCAGTAACAGAATTCAGCGCATTAGAAAAACGGAAGATGAAATTATTACTGTACGATGAGAAATTGTATCATGACGTTTACGCTATCCTTATAGGGAAGTAACTTAAAGTAACAAAAGACTTTGAAAAACAACAGAGAACAAAAAAACCCCTCTGTAACAACAACAGAAGTATGAAAAATGATTTTGAGAAGGATTTTCCGGCGTCTGCTCGGGAAAACAACCTGGCACATTGCGAGTGGCGGTCTGGAAAACATGCCAGAAAAAAAAAAAACTTGCGTTTAAAGCTTGCGAGTTTTGACAGGCCGAAACGGTTTAAAAACACGGCCCTTCGCAGAGAGAAAAATATCATTTTTGCATGTTTTTTTTTTCATGATTATCATATGCGTGGTAAACAGAACTCACTGGAATTGCCTTGCCTTTTAAGCTGAGATGGTTTGGCGCCTAACTCATATCTAGGAAACATGGGTTGGAGCTACTTCCGCTGATGTCTCAATTCTTTTCGTAAGCTTTGCTCTATGCATTTTGCTTTCATAACAGTTTCCTTGTAACTTATTATCCACAAGCCAAATGTGATAAATTAAAATAACTTACTTGCGATCACATTTCCATTTATGCATTTTTCTCTCGTAATCTTTGGCATTCATTATCTTCCACGTCAATTGTCTGCTTCGCTTCGAGAATTATCGAGGTCTGCTCTCAAACTTTATCACGCCACTTTACTGTCACCTCTTTAAAAATAGGAAACGAGCCAAAATACTTAAATGGTGCTTGTTTGCGGACCTTATCAATCTTCTCCGCTTTTTATTGCACTTTTCCGGTTTGATTTGTCAAGCTTTATCAAGCGTTTACTGTATGAGACTTTTTTACCGTACAAAAATCACTGTTACAGGTCCGTATAAATTCCACTCAAACTACTGCGGTCGGCTTCAGCAGGTGAATTCCTCTTAAACTTTGATCGAAGCGAGTACGAGTTTCGTTGGTTTATTCTTGCCTTTAGCGCCTAAAATAAGGCAAATTATAGTTCTTTCAATAACCCTGTAAGCCCTTGTAGGCTCTAATGGACACGCGTCTGAAACACGAAAACTACGCGGGCGCATTGCGATGATTCATTCTTGCGATTAGCACCGTTACTACTACCGCTTAAATGTTCTTTAAATAACTCTGTAAAACCTTGTAGGCTCTGGTGGACACACGTCTGAAACGCGACGACTTACAAATTTATGAGGATGTATTGCGTTGAGCGCTGGTTCATTCCCTACGAGTAGCGCTATAGCAACTGGCGCTTAAATGTTCTTTAAATAACCCTGTTAGACCATGTGGACTCTGAAACGAGACGGTTAATAAATTTACGGCCGAGACATAACAACTATAACGAAACTTGGTTTAACTAAGCTTACTTTGTCGAATTGAATGATCGCCTTCCCCTGACTGCGAAGATGTATCGAGCTAACTAATCACTATAAGGATATCTCCCGCTAAGTTAATTACCAGTTGCACAGCGATACAAATTATTTCCATTCGCAAATCTTAGTACAAGTGGTCTGATGGCTGCCCTCCTCCTATCTTCCTAGAAAATCTCGTTTTTTCCTCTCGACACTCACAGGGTCATCGTTTAAAATAGCTCGACTTAAGTTCTTTGTTTGTTTGTTTTTTTTTCCTTCTATTTTTGTTGCCGTTTTTCAGGCGCGAAGTAAAGCTGATGAAGAACGACCAAGAAGTTATCTCTGTGCATGTGAGAACTGCCACTGACAATGGAATTTGCACTTAACAATCGTTACGTGTTATTGCAATGTGTACGCGATTCCTTGAATTCCGTGAATGTATTTTCAACTGAATTTACCATTCTTATGAGTTATCGTCAACATAATTATTGCTACCTTTATATCTTATTTAATTTGCTTTATTACTTGAAGTGGGAAACTCTGAATGACTTATCAAATTATCATTAACTTTGTTTTTGTATTCATCTTGTAAGATGCAAGCGGAAATGTTCATAGGCATTATTCCTCTGAATGATAGCAATAACGTGAAATTTCTTTTCCCGATCTGTGCAAAGTATCATGAAAAAGACCGATTCCATAGAAACTCCAAAATCTCCTTGAAAATTATTTTTAATAAAGGACGAAGGATTTTGACACGAAGTCGAAATCCGCTAGCCATGTATATTTTATTGGTTCATTTGCATCCTGACTGACACATGTGCCAAGAAAGAATAGCTGAATAAAATTGCTACTCCATCGGATTGTCAAGTACTCATTCACAAATTGTGTTTATACGGATATGAATACCTTCATTGCCATATAATGTCTTCGATTGGTGACAGATATTAAGATTCTTGCTAAGCATTTGTGTTTAGATGTGTTCACTTTTTGACTTACCGAGTTTTCGTGCCGGAAGTTAATGTCTATCAAACTATTTCAATATATGCAGCAACTACTGAAAAATTACTTCAGCACTTGAGATTGCTCCCAAACTGAGCGCAGAAAACGCCAGCGTAGTTCCACAAGCACAAGTAAGCGAATGTGTGGAAAATATACGGATATGACGAGAACTAACAGAAAAGACCATATGGCTGCGAGTATTAGGACTGTCATAAAAAACATTATTTGCTTCCGCTATTTCGTTCGTTAGGCGGAAAGTAAAATTATCGTCTAATCTCTCAAAACTTCCCTCACTTAATTAACTTTACCTCAAGAACGTGTAAAGAAAGTCCTTCTTTAACAAAACCAATGCAGATGCAATTAAACAGTCGGATGATGCCCCGACTTCTATAAACACTTTGAGAATTCTCTCAGTTTTAAAAAGGCTTTGACGGGTGCCATGGTTTGCAGCTGGAATGATTCGAAACAAGGAAGCTGAGTCATAAGTTCCTCCTTGATATGAATTCTTGTTTATAGACTTTCCTGCTACACGCGCGATCAATTTGCCAAGGGTATTATAAACGCATTAGATAGACACGTAAACTATTCCAAGAGGGAAAGTTTTAGTTGCATCTTAACGGTAGCACGCTGTTTTAAAGTTTTTATTACGGTGTCGATTAAAAGGAAGACCTAAAAATAACTTACACACAGAAAAACTACCAAGACAAAGAAACACCGCTGAAAAAGTCGATTCGCGAAATTTCAAGAATACATTAAAAATTCCACAGTGTCGAAAAAAATCTCTCAATTCATCTTAACCCAGACTTCACCCACCGACCTATTATTGTTATTCCAAGCTGTTTAAGGCCCATTTAATCCGTCTTAAACGCTATGCTACAGCGATCTTATTCCTTATATAGATATAAAGACATCTCAAGACATGTCGTATAAGATTTACTGAAACCTACCTCACACTTCGGCTTATTCCGGCGTCAAGGTCCCCAAACGCAGTGCTATAACATGCGTTGTGTAATCACTCGTCACAATAGCGGAACTGAACCATCTTCTGTTCGTAAATAGTCTATAAATAGATCACATTTCCGTCAGTATCACACAACATGCATGTTTAGCGTGAATAACTACACATTAAAACCACCAAATAAATGGGGCGTATAATTTTTTTTCCATAACGCGAAGAGTGAGTTTATTTCGCGCAGAGTACTCGCGTGATATACTCGGTTTCTTAACACTCCGCGCGCACACATGAGGTTTTGCAACAGCTTCAAGTGCTTCCTCTGTAGACAACTTCGCCGAAATTAATTTAAGTTGAAGATGAGCAAGTTTATATGGTCTGTAATCCACGAAACTGCTAACGCTGAACTAATAACTTTCGGAATAGTATCGTTTGCAAAATACGTTTGTTTGTCAATACTTTTCTTTAAGCAATACGCGCGCAACCTAAAAAGTTAGCCGTGTGGACAACTAATTAAAACGTAGTTTTAAAAAAAACCTTTTACCGGGTATTAAGTCTAGCCAAAAACAGAATGTTTGCCTGTTAATATCAGATTTAAATCGTGACACTGCATAATGGTAATTAACTCGAAATAGTGATTTGAAGACATGAAAATTTTCGTCAGAAACCTGAAAGTAGGTGATTCCAAGAAAACCATCCATGGCATTCTAAATTGGCACTTTGACGCACTTTCCTATCTGTTTTACTGCACGATGTTGCAGTAAAACCACTTTCTCAGAAATTGTTTGAGGAAGTCTTTAAGAAAGTATGAACTGCGCTGGCATTTACAGTATGGATGACTTAAACAAGAAAATCTAATAGCCAATTTACAGTAATAGAAACTAAAAACTTTGATTCTTGACCTTTCCTTGTTTGGCCGTAAACCAAGAGAAACTCGTACCAGCCAATTTACTGAAAAGAGAAGTTAAACCATCTCTGCTTTTTCTTTCTCATCTCGACATCTGAGTTACTTTCTCTTTACTCAACTGTTCTGATCAGAGTTTTGGTCGGCAAACACAATATTGAATTCAAAGAGAGCTTTTACAGATCTTGGTGGTTCAAAGTGCAGTGCAGAAAAAATCCAAAAACGTTTTCAGTCCATTAAATAGAAGAGAGAGTGGCGCGCATCAGAAGGTCAAAGTTGATAGTAAACCCAGGCAAAGATCATTGTCTTGTGTTCCTGGTCATTTTACAAAGCCCTACTTTGCTTCCATGATCTAACTGTAACTTCTCTGCACTGTCTCTACCACATTTTAAACAATTTTAGTTCTGAAAATTTCGCGTTTAATTCTAACAATATCTTCTTTATTAATGATTTCCATTTTTTCCTCCCCGATTTTCTCCTTGATGTTGGGCGGTGAAGTTCCATTTTGGTTCCAAGTGATATTAAAAGGTTCAACTCCCAGAATGCCTCTCCCTACCCCAGGAGTTTAAGCTAGATGGTTGTTTCCAAGTTGAGTAAAGGTTTGGTTTGTTGATTTTATAGGAGGGAGGGGAAGTGGAAGAGAAAAAATAGGAGAGAGCCCTGACAAAAACTCATAGCAGGAAAAAATCTCACTGACTGATGATATCAATGCTTTGTGAATCAAAACTCCAACACTGCTGTGGGAAGGGGTCAGTGCTCACATAATTGCAACATCTATGCTCTAAAGGGAATCACATTTTGGTTAATTCTTGTTGCAGTTTTCTTAATTCCTTCTAGTTTGATGCCAGGAAAGTGCAATGTGTAGAGAATTAATTCAATGTGGGGCTCTGCATTTATTATGCAAGGAAATCCATCCCAGCACAAAATGTGATTCAAGTCTAAATTCTCAAAGTCCCCTCCCTCTCCCAAACAGCAACAGTTTTGCTTTTCATGCTTCCTCTCCTTGTACTTGACTTGGAGAGGTACAGGTGGTGTGATGCATGACTGCACGTCCCAGCAAGAGCCACAGCTAGGAATAAGACACAGTTCTCGTTCTTGTAATATTTTGAAAAGGCCAGTTAGGCAGACAAAAACTCAATGAAAGTCACCAAATCTATGTACACATAGTACACATGTTTGCTTTTAAACTCACTGACTCCTAAGAGTGACTAGCATCTAATTTCTCCTTACAATATCACCCCTGAAACACACATTTCGCTCATGAGAAAACAGGAAATGATCACCAACTAAAGAAGCTCTTGATTATTAAACAAATTCTCCTTGTCAGCACCATATGAAATGTAAGGAGAACAGTATGGAGAATATACATGCTGATGTTAGAATGCAAAGGGTGAAATATCAAAAGAAATTGTACCTTCAGATTGTAACAGGTTTCCTCCTCTCTCAAATATCTTTAATCCAGCACAATTTCTGCTGTGTATTGGAGACTTAAATCTTTTTCTGGAAAATTAATGAAGAAACATTTATTTTTGTTAACATGTGATATTTACTCCCTGTTTACCTTACTTAAAGGGGTAAAAGTCATATTGCAGGGCAGAATTAAACTTAAAAAAAAAAATTAGGGTAACATACAGAAAATTCTGTTGCAGAAACAGAATACAAACAATAATCACAACTTTCATTAGTAAATGATTGAGATAGTACACACTCTCTCATTGGTTGATAGTTGTGTTTGGGTGAGTGTATTGTGACATTTTAGCATCAGGAGTATTTTTGAGAAGTACTTTTCAAAAGCAAAAGACAACTGTTTCCTCCCTTCTCATAGCCTCTTCTGAACACTCAGGGGGAGGGAAGGAGGCTTGACTCCAGGCCCTTAAACTGCATCTTGGTTTTGACTGCATCTTGGATTTTAAAGCTGTCTTTTGCCCACCCACCCCTCCCTTCCGCCCTCCCTCCCTCTCGCCCTCCCTCCCTCTCCACTCCTAGACACTGTAAAATTTCTCTAACTTAAATGTATATTTGTCTTATTTATAGGGAGTATTTTAACTTAAAATATGCTTTTTTATTTATTGAGCAAAACTATCACAACTTAAGTTTAAAAGAAAAACTTAATGAGGTACTGTATTTCTGAAATATCAAGCTAGCATTATAGGCAAAATTTATCTATGTATATGGCAAAAATCATCAGTAATGATCTGTAAGGTAAAAATTTCTATTGTTTTAGATAACACATTCCTAGAGGTGGGTGTAGAGAGATGCCATGGGGTTATTCCAATAATACCATTTAAGTTAAACAAAAAAGACGAGTGGGAGGATGCTAAAAATTTAAATTTTATCAGCCATTCTCTGGTAAATTTAAATTGTTTGCAGCTTGCATTCTGTGTTTCTAGTATTTCTTAACATTCATCATTCCAAGTCTCTTCTTTTGAAATCTTTGCCGAAGATTATCACAGGAAAGTATTACTACACTTTGATAGCCAACACCTTGTAATTATATTTTTAGGGCTGTAATGCCATTTCAAGTAAGATAGAAAGTTTGTCAAGCGAAATCTCTCTTGTAAACCTGGATCAGCTGGAATAGTATATTTATAAGTTAGCAAGTGTGGTTTTATATGGCTTACAATGTACAAACCTAGTAAACATGGCAACTCCTCCTCCTCAAAACCAGTCGTGATCTATACACTATTTGCATCTCTTTTCACATACATCAATGCTAGTTAGCTATTCTGCTAGACAAGACGAGTGACTGAGAGTGTGGAGTTGAAGGTATGTCTATTTATGATTTTTTTCTAAGCTCAGGAAGTGACCTAGCCTAAGGGTTTTTTCACATAACAAACAGACTGAAGGTGTTCCAAACATATTGTGTCAAGTAAATTATTAACAATTTGAACCTACTGTTGCAAGCCATAGCATCTGCACCAGAAAATTAATATTTTCAGCCTTTGCTTTTCTAATCATGCGTATGGCAGATAGCCTCAGACAACACATGTATTAAGGGTGATAGACAGCCGATGGGTTTAACCAATACAGTGACAGGAGAGTGCCATATGTTCAATTTTTTGCTGAGATCTGTATGTCACCAGAGCAGGGTGACATCTAAACATAAGACACTGGCTGACTATCCTAATGGTTCCAGTAAATATTGGTCGACTACATTAAATGTAGTATAGTGTAATATAAATTTTATATGTTCACACTGCTAACATGTCTCTATAGTGATACTCCCCTTTGTGAGTAAGGTATGTTATGTTTTGTTTTGTCTTTCATTCTGCTGAATACAGGAAGATGCTGTCTGGCTTTAGTCACCTCTCATTATCATAAGAAAAGCCTCAAGAAATTACAATTTCCTGCTTTGTGTGCCCAATATCTTCCTGTCCAGCTATCATTTATCAATGCCAACCAATCAAAATGCTGTGTGCATCATATTACATGAAACTGTTTTTGGAAGTTGGTATATAATTAGCTTTAACAGGTTTAGACACTAATTTCACTGTGTATTAAGTCATACTGTCTACATTATTGCCAGGAGAAGGTTAAAATGCTATTTTAATCTCTCAAACCCAGCTTTTCAAGATCATTTTGAATGAAATAGTCTCCTGAAGGGAAACAAATATCGAAAGACTCGCTATTCTTATCACAAGTACTGTACATATGTACTAACTTCACAATGAATTTTATAATCAGCAATAACCACAGGATTTATCCAACACTCATCACTGATGGTATTAAGAAATAAAAAAATAACTTTACTCTCGTGGAATCTGAATTATTCGCTGTAACTTATTCAGAAAAACTATCTAAAAAGGTGTCCAGTACGTGCATCAGTTCTTCAATAACACCATACAACTTCCTCAATATCCTAGCAGACCCACTCCAAAAATTTTAATAAGTCCTTTATCAAATATTTTTATTTCATGATATTGACAAAATGTCGAGCATGTGATTGTATTTAAAAAGGAAACAGAGTTTAGCTGTTAGTTTCAAACGAACTGACTGCAAAAAATATTACGAAGGAGACTTCCTGACTGTTAATTTCCATGTCTGCTTAGTCTTAACTTACAATCAGCTGATTTCTTAAAAAGTTCTTTATAGAAAGAACTTTAACCTCGTGAAAGCTCGTTAATATTCCAAAGAGTATTACGAAATGTTTTGAAATTATTTATAGTCTACAGGAAGTCGTAAATCCCAACTATATGCAAAGTCTTTGAAGCCAAGATTTAGACATTTTACCGGAATTCCGCTGGACTGTTATTATTTGGCACTATTGTAGAGTACTTTGCAATATCCCATTGGAAATTTCTCTGACACTTAAAAGTTTTTTTTTTCGGCTTGAAACAAATTTTTGGTGCGCTTTTTCCAAGAAATTTTAATCAATGTAAATAAAAGCACGCTGTTCTGAAGTGAGTCCGTGGTATTTCGAGCTCTTACGATCGAAGTGCGACTAACTTGCATTCTTTTGGTGAACTACAAACTACACACATCGATCTTTGCACTTACTTGAAAATTCCTCACTGTTTCTCTCCCCAAATGGCCACCCTAATCCTTCTACCGTCGTTTAAAAGACCACAACAATCCTTTAAATCAGTTATCAAGGAGAATATTTTGCATGGATAATCTAAGTTTGAATTTGCCGGGACTACTCGATGAACAAGGAGCTGTCACACCATCGAGTACCACAACACGATATGTCTCTCTTTCTCGCGAGTGAAAATTGTCGGAATTCCTCCCATCAAGGCATCGATCTCGCAATAAAGAACATCCTCTCCCGAAACCTACAACGCCTTCTAGTAAAACTCTGTCAATTTCATTCATGAGTACTGCAGATTTTTCTTTGGCGGCCCACGTGCAACTCCCACGCGAGAATATTTTATCCCACAATGCATAAGGCGCGAGTGTACCTCCCACGCGCTAACATGGTGAACAGATTCTTCACTTTCTCTTGCATCGCTAACGGTTATATCCTGCCGCAAAGCATGAAACAGAGACTTACATAAGAACAAAAAACGACAGAACGAAAGAATAGCTTCGTCGCTAATATGTACAACAAGAGTGAACTGTTGTAATAAAGTTGCTATGGCATCGCAGAAATTTTAATAGTTTACATAATATTGTCGCTATATTTCTGATTAGTCGCGCGTTCAGCATAATAGCTATTACGGCTTGTTGTAATTCTGTCCCTTCTGTCGGAGAATATGGGTTTAGACATTAATACTTTCAGGTTGCTATTGTCGTAGACCACTAAAATAGGTTATATTTCAGTTGCACGTAAAATTTTTTTTTTAAGACAGAGTTATTATTCAAGACATGACTGTGTTTTTCAAAAAACGTCCACCTCGGCCTTCCAAACGCCGACTCTGAAAAAACGACCTCAAATGCAGCCTACATATCCACCCGAATGACTGAGTGTGTGTCTGAGTCCGAATGAAAAAAATCATTTTAACAATATCTTAAAAATAGCTCTGTTTTTCATCTGCTGTTTAAAGTCGCTTAGTCGCGATGTGACGGCTGTCGTTCGCTTTTTCTTCCGCTTTCCCAGTAAAAATACGGAAATCCTCTCTAGCCATGGAACTGATGTATAAATGCACACATGCTAATGTATAATTTCGCTGATTGTTAAGTAATGTTTGAATTATTACTCAGCACATTTGCTCGATCGGTTTAGAAAGACTTCGATTTACTACTTTTCCTGTTTGAATTTTTTCAAACCGAATCGCTTCTCTGTACGCACTGAATCTCACCGCGATTCGCATTATCTCCAGCCTTATCCAAGGCACCTATTATATCAGTCAAATCTCCAACTGACATTCAAATGGCTGCCACCGAGAGGTGGTTAAGAACTGTCCCACGCTTGAGCGCCCAAATCTCAGCCCACAAGGTCCTTTTGTTCTTTCACACTTCGTTTTGCCGTTTTACGTGCCCCTACCACCGGTGCCTTAAGGCTTTTTAAAACAACCCGTGAACTGCATCTACTTCAGCACCATACCCCCTCAGGAAGCAAATTTTGATCGACTTTTTCAAATAGCTTTTAAGTTGAAAAACTGATCTAACCAAAACAAAATCCTCATGGTACGTCCTACGTATTAATCTGCCCTTCTCACTTAACAATGAAGTTGAAAAAACCTGAGTAGCGAATAAGCCGAAAATGGCGACCCGTTCATTATCTGTGTTTGTGTTCGGCTCGTGTTATGACAACAATATTTTTTCAAAAAAGCTTCAAATGAGAGGCTCAATAAATTTATTTGGTCAACAGGATTTGAAATAGCGACTGTCGACTCGTAATCTGCTACCATCGTTTTTTATCCACATCTATTTGACGCTGTATGTAATATGCTTTCAGACCGACATAATTAATCTGCTTTCGATTGCAATTGCGCAATCTATTTGGACGACCTACATTTGATCCGACCACTTACAGTTCGAATTCGGATCTTGATAAACCTCAGAGAACTCACCGTCCATTTTGAAAGACTCGACCGAACGCAGAGGCGAATAAAAGTTTTACAAACAGCTCAATAGCAAAAA